ATATTCGACAGGGGCAGTTAGACGACTTGAAGATGTCTTCGACAGAAGCAATCAGGAAGTTTAAGGGAAATTGTCGACATGGGTGGCAGTTGTAAATAGTTCAAGAATTGAAGACACGTGGAAGTAAAGCAGGGAACGAAATTCCATGTAATAGTCTACGTGTCAAACACTAGAGAAGTAATCTTTTGACGATTATTGATGTGTTTAGTATATAAGTATATTTCCTTCATGTAATAAAGGTTCGCAATTTTTATTAGTATTCTCTATTGAACTCGAGCATCCAAGTCACATGGAGAAAATAGTTTGTGAGAAAACATGTATGAATTTGCATCCCTTTTTAAATTCCTTAATCCAAGCATTTTTATTTAATTACTTTTATTGTGCTCTTTGTTTTACTTTAGTTCTTAGAACAATTTTGCATTTTTCTTATTGGAATCTCTATCCAATTTTCCTACATTCAAACATTAATACTCAAGCACAAACACATTTCATCAAACTGTTTTGTACAAGTTGTTCATAATGTTTTTTTAGTTTAATCCATTAGGTGCAACGTCCAGTGGGAACATTTTGTTCAAGAAATTTAAACTTTTGTAGAAAATTATTTGTGCTTTTATTATCAGTTTTGTTCTTCATACATGCAATGCTTTCAATTTTTTAGTGTTTATGCATCAAGGAGTGGTAAAACTCTTGTTGAGATGGAATAACCAAAAAAATTTCCCCTTCCCCAGAACAATGCTTCAGATATAGAAGAGAAATCAATCAGAACAACGGTTGGTGGTGCAGGAACTTCAACCTCAGTTGGAGTAATCACTTTTGTTATAAGATAAATGACAGCTTCGACGACATTACCAGAGGCGATGGTCCCCCCACCACAAGTAACGAGTTTTTCAGCTACTCCTAGGGTCATATAAACTATTAAAGGAGAGTCCTTAGACCTTACTTTCTTTTAAGCTTTATGCTACCCCCTATAGTAAGGAATACCTTTATGGCATGCCAACTACAATGATGGAAGGCCTACAAACTAGTGCATGTACGTATGCATATAATGCAATGACTGTTGCATCTCCTCTTAATTCATACTTAGCATCAAGATTGGCTATATGCAATCCTATTCGAATTGCATAACCATAAGAAGGGTTAGGATATATCCCTCAAGTTATGCCACCCTTAACCACTAGTTCCCTCTTGTCTGTGAAGCACTAAATTAATGAAAGTAACCATGATATGATGAATATGCTTACACAACAAAAGTTTAATCTTTTGATACAAAATAAAAACCATACTTACCAGCAATTGGTGCATCAAATAGGTCGAATTGTTGAATTTTGTGGTGCTCCTCAAGAGCCTGTTGAACCAATCCCTCAAGTCCAAGCAGTTGGGGCAATTTAAAACCTAATAATTGCATACAATGAAGGTCTACCTAATAATCAAGGCCAACAATAGATTATGCCCCAACCAGTCGAACAACCCATCCCTAGGGTAGTCGAAGCAGACATAGGTCAGAATGGCCCAGAGGTGGTATTAGTCAATAGAAATCAGAATGCAGAACAATATTGAAGATCAAAGAACATTGATCTCTTTTTCCAAATATTTCTCTCAACGGGGTTGTCTTTATCCTTTCCAAATAAAACATTAAGGTGTTCTTGTATTTGATAAACTTCATCGCCAATTAAAGGTTTAGGAGCGTTCTCAAACTCCCACTCTCCGTTAAAAGCCTTCTGCAATCTACGATAAGGATGATTGGGTTTTAGAAATTTCTGATGCCCAAGGTAAATGGTCTTTTTCCAAACATAAACTGGTGAAAACATGTATCAGATTCACATATAGGACACACTTTATGTCCTTTGACATTATATTCAACCAAATTACCATATGTTGGAAAGTTGTTGATTGTGCAAAATAGCATTGCACACATCTTAAACTTTTCACCAGAATATGCATCATCAACGTCAACACCTTTATCCTAAAAATGTTTTAAATTCTCAATTAATGGACTTAGATAAACATCTATGTAGTTTTCAGGTTGTCTGGTCTAGTAATCATCATACTTAACATCATATACTTGCGCTTCATGCACAACCAAGGAGATATGTTGTAATTTGTGAGAAGAACAGACGAGAAATAATGGTTAGTTCTCAGATTACCAAAGGGGTTAATTCCATCTATGGCAAGCCCTAGCCTAAGGTTTCTTGGCTCAAGGCCAAAATTCGAAAACAATGAATCAATATTCTTCCATTGCAAAGAATCAGCTACATGGCGAATGTTTCCATCACATTTTCTTTCATTTGCATGTCATCTAATATTCTTTGTGTCATTCAAATTAGCAAAAAGTATCTTTAACCTTAAAATTATTGGTAAGTACCATAACACTTTAGCAGGAGGATGTTTCTTATTAACACTGTCATTGTCATCACCATTGTTGTTTTTCAACTTGTAGCGCGACTCACCATATTTTGGACATTGATCCAAATTTCCATACTCTTTCATATATAATCTGCATCATCTTCATCCATTTGTGACGTTGCATTTCGATTATTATCCACTTTTCCATGACATGTCCATCTTGTATAATTTTGACATATTCCATCACAACATAGGTGATGTAATATTTCTTTCTTTGACCGTTTTCTGATATTCCCACAAACAACACAAGGACATTAAAAGATACCATTATTGACGGAAACATTTTTTTGGCGAATTCAAGAACTCATTTCTCATACACCAGACTTAATCTATCGGTTTTCATCCAGCTATGATCCATAACAAATTCTGAAATTTATATCAAAAGAATAATGTGAATGGCACACTAATGTTACACACAACATCCAAATATGATTATATGTATATGACAATGTCTGAAGAAAACATGAACGTGGCAACACCAAAACATAAGCATATTTAAAAGCGTCACAATATCTGAATAAAACATAAACATATCCAACACCAAAACCTAAAGCATATTCACAAAATCTAATAAAACATAAACATGGCAACATGAACAATACACATGACAATGTCAATACACACAATATCCTAGAGAAGAACATAAACATTTAGAAGCGCCAGAGAGAGATATAATGGTAAATAACCCTTATAAAGAACATAAACATTCAAAAGCGTTAGAGAGAGAGAGAGAGAGAGAGAGAGAGAGAGAGAGAGAGAGAGAGAGAGAGAGAGAGAGAGAGAGAGAGAGAGAGAAAATGGTAATGTACTGTAATTCGAAGAGGATGACGATTTTGTTTTCATAAATGATATTCGTTTCCATAAATGAATGAAGATGGTGAAGATTTAGCTATCGTTGTCGTCTCTTTCGCTAGAGCACCCTTGTGTGTTATGAATGAAATGAAGTATCTGTTATGTTTTAATTTTGTGGAAAACAATTTCACAACGATTGCAAGCTGCAACTGTAGTGAAATATGAAACATATAACCACGGTTGAACGAAACAACCATATTTATTATACTTTCATATTTTAAATAACAATAAATGTGAAGGGACACACACTTATTTTTGTTGAAAAAAATAAAAAATGTTTATGCTGGGACTTGAAGCTTGTCATCCAAACTATATAACCACGATTGTTTTAAGGAACCGTGATGAAAAGTTTCTTAATAAAATAAAATAAAAACATGCGCGTAAAAAATGTAAGGACTACGGTGAAAAAAAAATTGTTGTAATATTGTGTCATTGAAGGTATAACTTCTAGTAGTGGTTTGAGAAAATCGATGTGCTCATAGTCTGAAACTTCCTCATAGTGGTCTTTATGTTGGTATTCGATATAATTGCTAAAACTTGCACGGATAAAAAAAATATTGGGTTTGATTTTTCTTTTGAGAGGGGGCGAAGGCTAGTAATAGCACCCATGTCGAAAAGGATGGGGGTTATCATTTCACAATGCTGAAAGATTTTGGTCGAGCCTTTTCAAAAGTGAAGGGCTAAAATGAGTATATTAAGGTTATATTTGGGACTCATTCTGGATAATTGAATCAAGTCATATATGTTTTGGTTTTTCCATATTTGTTCTTTCTTCTTTTGTACTTTATTATTGATGGTATGAGAAGAGCGAAAGACACGTAGGGGTGTACTCATAAAATATATCTCATATGGTTTGTCTTCAAACGTACGAGGTTTACAGTGGCGATAACAAGGGAATTTTTTTTAACTTATCAGGTTTTTCAAAGAGTCTGGAAAATGAACCCAAAAATGCACGAGCCTTGTCTGAAATAGAAAAAGAGATTAATACCTATAAAGCTCATATGGTGACTTTTTCCTTCTCCATTGAAGATTGAGGAGCGTAATTACGATTGTTGAGATCGATTCTCTATAAGATTTAATCCTTATATATGATAGGATTATGAATTTAGGATATGCATACTAGCAAGAATTAGAGAAAATGGTTATATGTGTGAAAATAAGAAATGTTGAAACACGTGTGAAAATAAGAAATGTTGAAACACTAGGTTAGTTGACATAAGATTTGGTGGATTTCTGTGTTTTTGAGAATGTCAATAATCATTATGTTGTCTAAGTTTGATGCAAGAATGATAGGAGTGTATTGAAGTTGAGAGAATATGAATATATGGAAAAATCTCAGCATGAATCGAATCATATTTTTATGTGAATAGATTCAAATCTTCACATATCTTAGAATACTTGATATTCAGGTAGTGTTTAGGCCATACCTTTTTACCTATGATTCCTACTAAAGTTATTATTGATTCCTCTGAAAACCAGACTTAATTTCATTCCATTTGAGTACAAACTTCATAGTTGGTTTTGTATTGATGCTTTAAAATATTATACAAAATTAGGTCAGATAAACAATCCAAATAGCCTTAATCATGAGAATTTAACAAACCAATTAATCTCTACCAGGAATTGCTTTTGATGTTACACAACTTTTATACAAAGTACAAAACATTAGTTTCATCTAATTAACAGTTTCAGCAGGTTATAATCACCTCTGAGAACATATCACATTACAGAATAGCAGATAGCCTTTACCTGCGATGTTTACTTCTTTTCTCCTCGGTTTTCTTTTTCTTATGCTTAGATTTCTCTTTGGACCTGTGTTTCTTAGAATGTCCTTTGTCCGAGTGACTCTTATGCGACTTTTTACTTTTTTTTCGCCTTTCTTCAGAAACATCATCATCCGAAGATTCATATGACCGCAGTGACGTAGGCCTCTGCGGACCATAAATAACACGATATTCCCTTAAATCTGGACTAGTAGAAGGCTCTCCATCAGGATTAGCCGGAAGGTAAGGCCCAGTCTCATCCATCCTTGGACCAATAGCGCCTCTGCCTCGCTTCTTCCTGCATCAAAACAAAGTTTCCTCAGCTTTAAAATAATCAAGGAGAAAATGATTACGAGTAAACTTGCATTTTAGTCGATCAATTTAGTTTCTCAAATTTGCGAAATAACAATTTAGTCCCTTCAATTTGAAAATATCAACCACTCAAATCTCACACCACAATTTTAAAAGTTGTATGTTTGTTTTGATGCATACATGCACATAAAACAACAGAAATAATACCTTGAATGTAGAAACTCTTCGAGCTCTTCATCCTTTAAACCTTCAGGAGTATGCTCGCATTCTTTTTTAGATGAGCATGAAGCTGAGGCACTAGTGCTTTTATCGGCCCCATCATGTCTTTCTGCACTTCTTGATGAGTTATAATTCCTATATCCTTTGTCATAACTATTTTTATCTCTTGATGATGTGCCTGAAGCCCGTTTATCTAGCTCCAGTTCTTTCTCTCGCGCTCGCCACATTTCATTCACTTCCACAGCTCGATTTGCTGGTAGAAAGAAACCACCGACAAATATTCAGTTCCATACATATAGATAATAGTTATTTACATGTGTTAAACATTCAAGAAAAGAATTGCATATTCCAAACAAGTCATGTTAAAATATTTCTAAAGAAATTTCTCTATGCATCCAAACAATTTCTCGAGATCTTTCTTAATAGTTTCTCTTACCATTTTTCTAAGTCTATAAAACTTTCACATAAGAAAAACATATCGATTCAAACCTTTATCAAAAGCGCATCCATAAAATATAGAGCAATATCTAGCAACAATAACCAAACTCTATAGTCTCTATCTAAAATTATTTGATTAAGAACGAACCTTGTTGCACCCCACGTACCGTAGCAGTGAGGAAACGCGAATTCGGCCGACTCCTTACGTTAGGCTTTTGAAGATAAGCCAGAACACCATCTTTCTCAGACTGCCGCCGCAACTCGGCTGCTTCTCGCATAAGCATAGCAGCTAATCTGTTTTCAGTCTCGAGATCCATCTGATGATATTTTCCAAAATCAAAGTTAAGAACACTCAAAATCAGATTTTGATTAAAATATTGACATAAACAAAATTTTCTCCCAATCCAAAATTCCCAAACTTCAGAATGCAAAAAATCAGTCAATCTTAAAGAGCACAAAAAAATTTTGGTTACTAATTACTTGCTAATTCAAACCCTAATAATGAATAATTGGATTTGATTCTTTGATTCTAACAATTACAACTACAAATAACATTACAATTCAGATACTAGTTAAGTGAAAAACCTAGAAAAAAACTTTCTTTAATTGATTTGGTTATCATATATTTGCTTAAACCCTAGAATTCTAGGGTAATAAGAACTTGTTCAGAGGTATAAAGGGTGGAAATTGAAGAGGAAAAAATCAGAGGTGAAATACAGCACCAAAGTAAAAATCAATGGAGACCCACAAAATGAGAGAAGAAAAAGATTGGAAATTGGGGAAATGTTCGACGGAAAGAAGCTTACCGTGTTTCGGTCTGCGGTGGCACCGTCGGAGGATCTCGAATCTCTTCAACGCTAGTTTTGTTGTCCCTTTTCTCAGGTTATTTGAGGGAACAACGTTTTAGTTTGGTTTGGCTTTGTTTTAAGAGAAAATATAATTTAAATTAATAGCTAATAGTTGGTTTGAGTTTTAGAATTTTCATAAAGTTAAAATCAAATCAAAATCAACCAAAGGGGAATGGTTTGGTTTGTTTAAATCTAATTGGTGTTTTTAAAATGACAATAGGAGAGGTATTGAAAGTATAAAATTATTTTACACATTCATTCAATGAATAATGTAAATTTTGTCACATGATATTAAGAATTTTAAATGGATGGGATGATTTGGCAGATGAATAATCTTTTATTCAACTATTGTGTAAAAAAATTTTACAATAACTATGCATGTCCATTAAAGTCTTACAAAATATTAATAATTTTTTATTAAAAAAATATTTTTAAAAAATAATATAGATTTTTCATAAAAAAGTAATGTATATTAATTAATTAAAAAATATATTCATAAAATGTTTTGAAAGATAAACTTACTAATAGTATAAAACAAATAAAATATTAACAAAATATGATTGGTTAGTTCAGTTTCTCAAATGATTTTTTTTCAATAGTCTGATGGCTGAAATTTACATTATTAAAGTGAATAATTTGGAAGTCGCGAGTTTGGACACGCGTTCTTGCATTCGATGTCTCTACACAGCTACCAACTGAGCTGACTTAACAAAACTCAAATTATATATTTTGAACGACATAAAATTGATACACACACCTATAGAGTTTGAGTTTGTTCGTTTGATTTTAATCATAAAATGGAAAAAAAAAATTAATAGAGTGACACGTTTCACCTTACAAGCTAGTTTTGTAAGGATGAGTTAGGTCAAACTCTAATATGGTATCAAAGCCTATTGATCGGACTATGGGTTGCCCACCGTTTATATCATTGCACCAGACTCAAAAGTGTGTAGAGCATGGGATGGTGTATTAGGAAAATTACAAGTCTCACATTAGTTAGATATAGAGCATTGAAAGAGTATAGAGTGACACCTTTAACCTTACAATGTCACTCTTCACCTTCCAAGTCCCACATTGGTTCAACATAGTTCGCGTCTTTGATTTGCATAGGGTCAAAATCTACCTGCATTAGGGCTTTAGCCTTATCAACAAACTTTAGCCTTCCCTTATTCAGCGCTCCTTGCACCAAATCCTTGAAAATGACACAATGAGAAGTCTTATGACCCAGAAAGTTATGAAACTTGCAAAATTCTATTTTCTTTTGTTGCTTTAAAGGTGGTGTCTTTAGCTCTTTATGGACTATGATTTGGCCATCAGCAACTAAAAGGTCAAAAATCTTATCGCACTTATTTACGTCGAAGGTGTACGTTTCGGCAACAAATTTGTCATTTTTGGGTTCAAACGGTTTCAATAGTTTACAAATGTATGGATGTCCTAGATTAAGTTCTGCCACATTTATGTCGTTCTCTTTGACCTCCTCGTATCCTACATCATATTCCCGACCTCTCTAATCTACCTCTATATAGAAAATCTTCTCTTTTTTTAATGGAATTTTCTTATTATGGCCTTTTCAGTCTTTAGGAGTTTGACCTTCGAGCTCTATCAGCCAACTAGATCATATCTCTTAGATATTGAGTATATAGTTTCGTTCTAGTATAGTGGTCTAGACCTCCAGCGGCCATTTCGACCAATTAATGGTCAAGTACCTGGGTAAAGAACCTTGCCTTTAACAGCCTGAACCTATTTAAGTAGTCATCAATTGACTCATAGCTTTGTGCCTTATACTAGCAAATTCTTTTAGACTAATCTTCGACTGCCCCATATAAATATGTTCATGGAGCACTCTTTCTAATTAATTCCAATTATGTATGGAATGAGGAGGAGTGTTGTGAACCATGTAAAGGTGTTTTTTGTTAGGGAGTTTGGTAAAAATCTCATTTTCAAAATCTCATTATTTGTAATATCTCTTGCTTCAGTATGGTATCGAGACATATGTTCGACAATTCACTTACTTGTGTCTCCTACAAACTTGGTGAATTTAGGGACGTTCGATCCCATGGGTGTTCTACTTGCAAAACATATTCTAATAAAGGAGAGACAAAATTTGGCCTATGTAGTCCTACACTAAGGCCATTCTGGGATATGATGTTTTCGACCATGTGGGCTAAATTACTTTTCCCCCTTAGGTTATCTTATCGAACATTCCTGATTACCTCTTCACCATCTTAGTTTCTATCTACCATAACTATTCTTGGGTTAGCTTGAGCTATATATTCTTCCCCTCCCCTAGGCACAAGAGGTTCGACAGGGCAAGGACCCTCTTGTTGTTGTTGCCCTTAATTAACAAAGGCAATCCCATTGTCAAGTATCAATATTGTGTTAGTTCCATGATTCTATGATTAGCTAAATTTTGGTAAAACATGATTCTACATTGATGTTAAGTAAGATGTCATAACATCTTCATCAACTGTTATGACAATACTACTGTTATGTATTTCAGACAGATGTCGAAGACAGATGTCATGACATCCTGGTCTGGTGCAGCAGGCGCTGCTACTGTATATCTCTGGACAAATGTGTTTTGGTTTGATGAGATCCTCTTGGATATACCTCATCAGTATGCGCAGGTCAAAGAGATCTATTAGGAACAAAGTGCAGATTTAATTGGATTTCATAAAAAAAATCTTTGAGACTTTTTAGAAAACTATAAAATATTTGTTCCTATTTTTATGGAGAAGATTCTGCAGAAGATTTACAATGAGAAGATTTGGAATTTGATTTGATCAAATATGAGTTGGTTTTAACTATGAGAAGATTTAGAGTTTGATTTGATTTGACTTGATCAAATCTAATTGGTGTTAATTATGAAAATATTTGAAGAATTATCTTTTGAAAAGATTTGAAGAATTATTTGATTTGATTTTATCAAATCTGAGGAAGCTTTTGCTAAAGTCCAAGCCCATACTAGAAGAGTATAAATAAGGACTTGCTAGACCTAAAGAAAACAAGCATTCACAACAAGAAGATCTTGGGTGCAAAATAAGCGTTTAGGATTTTGAGAGTCTCTTGTGTGTGTGACTTTGTAAGTCACCCTTTGTATCTTTTGATGCATTGTGGTAGACATATTTAGGTTGTAAGTTGTTCACTCAAAGCTTGTAAGCAAGAGTGTATTGTTCTTGATTGAAGCTGTTAAGCAAGATCAAGTATTGTCTTTGAAGAGTGTCTTCTAAAGTTTTATTAATTTGTTGTTATCACTGTTGTGATTGAGGAGGAGTGAGAGGTGTCTCATATCTAGGAGTGCCCTAGGTAGAAGTTGCATGGGTAGGGATTAAGTGAGGGGTTGTAAACGGGGGAGTTTAGCTTTGAATTGATACTACTGATAGTGGATTTCCTTTCTGGCTTGGTAGCCCCCAGATGTAGGTGATGTTGCACTGAACTGGGTTAACAATTCATTGTGTTATTTATCTTTCAGCATTTGAAATTCTGCACAATTTAAATGATTGTATAAAGTGTTATGTCCTTGTTATGTTTAAGCAGAGATCAATGTCTAGGACATCTGAGATCTGCATACCAAAATTTCATATTGGTCTGGCTTGCACAATTTGAGGATTTGGTTGTGTCTGGGTCTGAGGGGCGCCAAAAAAATTGGTTATTCGACCCATTTTATTGGTCAGTAATTGGTAACTTTGGATAGTGTTCTGAATCAAGGGATTGAGCATTGTACTGATTTGCTTAGTAAGCATATTAACCATCTCGTGATTACTTTCATCCATCTGTTGCCTTATGAACAACATGAAATTTGTTATTAGGGTAGACATATTTGGGAGAGAATATCCAAACCCTCTAGGTTGTGTTATTCGATCAGGGTTGCTAATTGCAGACCCTGATGCCACATATGGATTTAAAGGAGACGAGATCATTACTTATTGATGACAATTTGTCATTACATGATTTCTATGAGTATTTGCGATGAATTATATGAAATCTCAAGTTAAAGATGAGCTAAATATGAAGAAACATGAAGATAATAAAGAAGTCGAAGAAATAGAGAAAAACTAAGAAATCAAGAAGAAAGTGTGAAGAAACGAGCAATTTTCAACATAATTTATATATTGGCGTCTATTTAGTAAATTGATCATATCTGGAGTTCCGTAAATCATTTTGACGTGGGGTTTTTGAAGAAATGAAGCTAAGAGGAATGCCTACATTCAGGAACAATTACGTGCGTGATAGAAAGTATTGTATGCGTGATGCATCATGTTCTAGACTTTTCTGACGCGTTATGATCTATTCTGAATGCTTTTTAAGGAGACTTTCTGCAGTTTTTCAAGGGTTTGGCAGGGTTACGAAAATAAGAGAGCAGAGCAAGATTTTGAGAGCATCAATGGTGAATTTTAAGGCATTTGAAGCCATTTGAGGCCATTACTTCAAGGGAATTCCTATGTTATTTCATCTATCAATTATGGTAT